CTCATGACCCTCGTGACCCATTCTGTTTGTGTCACTGTTTTGTGGTGGGGAAACAGGTAAAGAAATCCTGCTGCAAATCCCTCCTTCTGCACGTTTTTATGAATAACGCCAGTGTTTTTAGCCATTGGGCACTGTGATCAAACCCTCCAGAAGATGAAATGCTAGCAGCAGGGAGTCATTGTGGGACCATCTGGGGGCGGTGTGGGTTTCAACAGAAGGCTCTGGAGGAAAGTTCACGGCAAGTTAACAGGCGGGACAAGGTGATGCTTCGGGAGGAAAACAGCAGCCAAGCACTGTCTAGAAGGATGAAACAATGAAGGTTGACGTGAGGAAGGCCAGTAGGAGTCCAAAATCAGTTTTACAATGATCAAACTATATTAAGTGATGATAATTCATCTCCTAAGTGATGCGTAATTATGTCATTTTTTGCTGAACATATATATTATACTATACATATGTTTTTCTATAATGTGTAAAGTTGAAGAAATAGTAAAAGGATTGTTTCTTAAACTGTATTTTCTGTTACCACAAAAGTGACTTAGAAGCTAAAATTAACTTTCAAACTCTAGAGCATATTCTCTTGAGTTTCCAAAGAGTAGGGGAAATGGGTTGCTTTAGTGTCCAGAGAATACCAACTAATCCCTTAAAGCAAGAAGTTAGGATAGCAGTGTCTTGTCAACACAGAGTAGGCACCTTGTTTTTTCTTTTACTATCTCAGAAAATTTGAGAACTAAATAAATTTTTTAAATTTACAAAGAATAATTGAACTGGAAAGGAATATTAGGCATTTTTGAAGGATTGTTTTATTATTATTATAAGAGTTATTTTTATCATAATACAATGTCTTTGCATTGAAAAATGAGAAAGTATGCACAAACAGATATTTCTGAGATGTTAGGCACTAACCCATAAAATGGGTCAACAATTTGTTTATATCTGTTTATACCTATTCTCATGGGCATTGTTAGTAGGCCTTGAAGGTAAGGGAGAAAACTAAGAAAAACAGGAAGAAAATTAACAGGGATTTAAAGAGAGTCAGGTAAAGCAAATAATATTCATGATGTGTTTGGCATAGCTTAAAACAATTTAAAACCCTTTCCAGAGACTAGAAAGAAGGCTTCGTGATCTGATTGTGCCTTGCATCGGTGTGATAAGCACATCCTTGGTCTGGGAGTGACCAGGCAGCTGAGGGATTCGAATCCCTGTTGGCAAACTGAAATCTCAGTGGTCCTGGAACTCATTAAGCAGGTGGAAGGAAGGCAGGCAGGAAGGAGAGAACACAGGAAACCAGCCTGTACTTTAAAAGATTTTAAGAAGACAGATTGTCCAAAAGCAAAATAATGATTTTACAGAAGAATTCTCATCATAATCGTGGGTATTATGCTTATTAAAGCTGATGGATATTTATTGAGATGCTGTGCTTAGTACTGCAAGTAATCCAAAGACAAATAAGATGGAAACTTCGCTCTTAGGAAATGGACTGCCTAACGTGAACAGTAAAGATAGCAGGATCTAAAGCACCGGGGACAATGTATTTCTTTAAAGAGACCCAAGACTGAACCCTCTTACATCCAAAGGCTGCTCCTATTTATCACTTTAACTAAGCCCAAAATTGGCACAGATGACTGAGGCTTGGCCTTTCCCCCTCCCCAGCCCTTTTCTTGTTGGTCTCTGTTGTTGATGATGCACTCAATTCAGACCCTGCAAACCGTGCAGGCCTTTGATTTATCTGGGAGCTTTTTTCCCACAAATTTAGGACTCGACTATGGTCAACATTTGTCTCGGAGGCTCTAGCCAATCCATCGTTGTTCTTAGAGACTAGGTCTCATCCTTTGACCTAGGCTGGGCTGCAGTGGCATGATCGTGACTCACTGCCACCTTGACCTCCCGGGCTCAAGCAATCCCTTCCCAGTAGCTGAGACTACAGGCACAGGCCACCACGCCCAGCTAATTGGCGTGTTTTTTGTAGAGACCCTGTGTTGCCCAGGCAGGTCTCTAACTACTAACCTCAAGCAGTCCTCCTGCCTTGGCCTCCCAAAGTGCTGAGATTACAAGTGTGAACCACCATGCCCGGCCTGGTTTTTATTGTATTACTTTCTGGTGTCCTTTGATCATGTTTGAATAAGAACATTAGTCTTTTTCTTTTTTATGTGAAAGAATTCCTTATGTAATAAGGATTGAGCCTTTAATGTGTTTGTTGCAAGTAATTTTCTTTATTTTGTCTTTTGCCTTTTAACTTTGCTTATGGCATTTTATGCCTTTATATAAAGGTGTTATGCAGTCAAAATCAGTGTTTCCTTTCATATTTTCTACTTTGAGTGAGATGCTTAGGAAATGTTTTCCTACCCCAAAATTAAAAGCATCCATATATACTTATTTTGGGGATATTTTTATGATTTTGTTTTTCCTTACCTAATCTTCAAAATCTCTAGCATTTATGATTTGTAATATAGCTGTAATTTGAGGGGCTTTTTTCCCAAATAAACTACAACATCTTACAATTTATCTTTATTTTATAATCGATAAAATTTAAGCTTTTAAATGAGAATTAGAATTTTGTAAAACTTCTGTTCCAAATTGGCAGCTTTCTAATAAAGAAGGTTTTAATGGTACCAGCAAATATGATTTTTAATATATAATGCACTATATAAACATTCGGAAGCTCTGTATAACTCAGTGAACCAGTACTTTCTAAATGACCAGTGCATGATGTTATAAAATTATGGGTGGGTAAATTAGATATGCTGGGTTCTAGACAGATCAATAGATTTTAATGTAAGAATATTAATACAGAAGCTCATGGATATGGTTTCAGATTACACACTGAAACTAACTTTCAAGAAGCTATCTCCCTGGACTTTGGGAGGCCAAGGTGAGAGAATTGCCTAAGCTCAGGGGTTCAAAACCATCCTGGGCAACTTGGTGAGACCTCGTCTCTACAGTAAATAAAAAAATAAGATGGGTGTGGTAGTGTGCGCTGGAGGGCAGTGGCACACTCCCGGCCACCGCAGCCTCGACCTGCTAGACTCCTGTGATCCTTCCGCCTCAGCCTTTCAAGTAGCTGGAACTACAGGCATGAACTACCATGCCCAGCTAATTTTTGATTTTATTGTAGAGACGAGGTCTCGCCAAGTTGCCCGGGTGGATCTTGAACCCATGGGCTCAGGCAATCCTCTTGCCTCGACCTCCCAAAGTGCTGGGAGCCCGAGCCCGGCCTAGAATTTCTTTTATTAATGGTCTGCTGGGGGCAAAACTCTTAGCTTTTGCTTGCCTGAAAATGTCTTTCATTTTTATTTTATTTCATGTGTATTCTGGAAAGATATTTTTAGACAAAATGTATTTTTCTTTAGCACATCGAAGATGTTATTCCCACTGCCTTATATATTTCCTCATTTCTGGTTGAGAAGTCAGCTGTTATCTGTTTCTTCTTTGAAAGTCATTGTTTCTTCCTTCTGGCTGCTTTTTTTTTTAGATGTTTCCTGTGTCTGTGATGTTTTATAGTTTCACTTTGATATGCCTGATATAGATTTATTTATCTTGCCTGGGGTTTGTTGGGCTTCATAGATCTGTGGATCCGTATCTTTCTTCCATTCTGTAAAAGTCTCAAGTATTCAGTTCAATTGTTGACATCTGTCTCTGCCTATTTTTTCTCCAGAATTATAATTAAACTTGTACTGGTTCAACCATTGTGTTGTCTTCTCTTTGTCTCTCCAGGATATACTCTGAAATTTCTTTTAGCCTACTCTTCAGTTTACACTTCTGCCTTGATTGTTTCTCATCAGTTGTTAAATTGATCCACTGAATTTGACATCTCAGTCACTGTGCCTTTTCATTTCCAGAAGGTCTGTTTGGTTCTTTTCAGACCTGCTAGGTCAACTCGTTATAACTTCCAACTACCTGTAGATATTTTCAAGCACTGTCTTTAAAAAAAAAAAATTGTAAGCAGAGTAGTTGTATAGTTGACAATTCTGGTGTCTGTGGTTTTCATGGGTCTCTTTATACTGGCTGTTATTTATTCAGGTTCTTCCTGATGCTACTTTACCTCCTCATAGATGTGATTACCTTTGATTATTATGTGGTGCTTTAAAAAAATTATCTGCATTAGTAATGTGAGACCTTGATTTAAGTTACTTTCCCTCAAGATGGTTTGTGCTGGGTGTCTGGGCACATGACAAGTTCAAATTACTTTAAGTATAGTATCTTAAATACCAGATTTGAACATTCCTGAGATTCAGATTCTTCCTTATCTTACTGCTGTAGCCTTTTGGGAGTCTTCAGTGTGAGGAGGACGTTCTCTTAGACTTTCCACTTGGGGCAGGTCCTAAGCTTTGATATCTGTCCTCTTCATCATAACCAGATGACTTGCCCCTTGCATACATGCTCTGAGGCAGAGCCGTCTGTACTCTGCTCACCCCTGGGTTCCTGCTCTTCGCTCTGGCCTTGGTGCCAGTGTGCTAAACTGTATGGGAAACTGCTTCCCGCATTCCAGGTCCTCATCGGCAGTTCCGTCCTCTCCGCCCAGAATCTCAGCGGAAGGAGCGGCCTCTTGTGTCTGAGACGTCGGTGACCCCAGTCGAGAGGAGGGAGAGCTGGGTGTCCTGGGCTCTCAGAGCTTCTGCTTGAAAGTGGCACCATCACTTCCGCTCACGTGTCCTAAGTTACTCCCACATCTGCGTTCGGCAGCAAGGGCTGCATAACCCCGCCATAGGAGGGGACACTTGAACAGGCATAACATGAGACATGCATGTGTGTCAGCTGCTAAAATTTTCCAAGTGTCTGGTCATGGAGGAGCAACTTGGGAAAATTTAAAAATCGGTCTGAATAGGGTGAGAGGTTAATGGGTGAAGGAACTCGAGCTCTGAGTTCTTTAGGTGTTTCTGGCCTTCCAAAGAAGTATTTTGCCCCTAGAAGAAGAGAACTGTTTTGCGATCGTGTTTTTAAACATGGGGTCTGGTGCAGTTATCCAGTTTTGACTTTACCTTTCTCTCTTTTGTTGACAGTGTCATCAGCAAGGTGGTTCCCGCCCCCGAGGCTAAGCCGGGCCCTTCCGTGAATAGGCCGAAGACCCCGCCTCCAGCCCCCGGGCCTGTCCCTGGGCCTGTGCATGTGGGCCCCGCCCCGGTGCCACTGCCGCTGCTGGCCCAGGCCACCGCCTGCCCCGCCCAGCTGCCAACCCCAGGCCCCGCGGCCTCCGGGGCCGCCGGCGCCAAAGCTCCTGTGCGCAGCGTGGTGACTGAGACCGTCAGCACCTACGTGGTGCGTACACGTCTCAGGGGCTGGTTGGGAGGATGTGCCGCTCCCACTTTCAGCATGAAAATGTTGTCAGTTAAGAAGTGTTCTGTAGCCAGGCACGGTGGCTCACACCTGTAATTCCAGCATTTTGGGAGGCTGAGGCAGGTGGGTTGCTTGAGCCCTAGAGTTTGAGACCAGCCTGGGTAACAAAGCAAAACCTGTTTCTACAAAAACCAAATATTAACTGGGTGTGGTGGTGCATGCTGTAGTCCCAACTTCTCAGGAGGCTGAGATTGAAGGATGCCTAAGCCCCGGAGTTTCGAGGCTGTGGTGAGCTGCGATTGTGCCACTGCACTCCAGCCTGGGTGAGAGTAAGACCCCAAATTAAAAAAAAAAAAAAAAGACTGGAAGTGTCCTCATATCATTATTGAGTTTCAGGGGCAATCCTTCATTGCATTTTCAAGCTTTTTTACGTAGTCAGCCTCCATGAATAATGTCAAAACGTTATTCTTATTTTGTATTGTTTTGGAATATGACTACATGCATATATAATAATGTCAGTGTATAACTATAGAGAGATATTGAAATCCCACATTGAATTTCTTGACCAAGCAATTAAGTTATTCACTTACGAGTATGATTTTTGTAATGCACCTAGATCTTATGAGCCAGCAGGCATTTTGGGTAACAGCACTAATTATCATATTTCATTGGCTAAGATCCAGATTATACCAGGGCTTGCATATTAGATGGAATGAACTTTTAGACCACAGAACTCCTGAGTATCCAAGCGTGACTTCAGATTGTAAAACCCACCATGCTGAATGAGTCCACATTGTCCTGGAACTGTTTTAGATGTTTTTTCAGACTTAATAGTATTGGGCCTTATTCAAACCCTGAATTCAGTCTAGTAATGAAGTATTTATTACGGGTATGTTCTTTGGGCGCTGTAGAGTAACATGCAAACACACCACAAAATGTTTGTTTTAGCCTAATGATGGCACTGATCTTGTGACTAGATACTGTATATAATCAGAAAGTGGCGAGGTGGTGGCCAGGCACGGCAGTCTGTAGTCTCAGGATTTGGGAGGCTGAGGCAAGAGGATCACTTAAGGCCAGGAGTTTCAGACGAGCATAAGAAACGTAGCGAGACCAGTTGCTGTAGGTGTCTGAGCCAACACCACCCCAGTGGACTGGTCAGGAACGATTTTGTACTTAACCTCCTCAGCCTCCTTGTCTTGATCCCATCATCAGGGAGTTTGTGTTGGACCCGATGATCTCCATGATACGTGCCAGCGCTGGAAGTTCCAGTTCTCCACCAGATTTCGAGTAACTCCCTGGAGATGAGTCCAGTGAGAATAGTCAGTGTAGATGACAAGCCTTCAGGCTGGTACAGACACTCTGTGGACAGGACAGAACGTGTGACTGAGTTAAATGCACAGGCAAAAGGCAGACTTCGCCGCTCTCTAATAGTGAGATGCTGGAAATGCCCCGTAAATCCCCTCAGCTCCAGTTTCCCCATTCTTAACCTATCCAACGACTGTTCTATGATGCTTGAACCACGCACAGTGTTTGAAAGGTCTTGGTAAGCGGGGAGGTGTCGGTGTTAGCTGTGGCAGATGCTGGGATAGAGTTCTTATGTGGTGCAGAGTCACAGCCTTCTCATGTCAGGAAAGGTCAGCTTGCTGCAAGTCTGGCGGCGCATGGTAGCCTCAGGGCATAGGATGCTGGGCCTGTCACAGCCACTAGACAGCTGGCAGGCCGTGGCTGCTGCTTCTCCCCGTGTGGCATTCTCTTCTGGAATGAGACAGGGCCAGCTGTGTAGCTGCCCACGGGTTTCTTAAGGAAGTTTTCATATCAGTGTATTTGGCTTTTGTAGAGATTTTCTTCAGCAATGGTAGGCCTTAACATGAGCCCATCCGTGGCATGAAACATACATATGCCCCCAGGACACCCAACACACACACACACAAAGGCCTTTTTTTTTCCTCATGACTGTCAGTGTTGTGTTTGAAAATAGAGGAAAAGACTATATAACTTGCAGAATAAACCTAATGAGATGATACGCTGTCCACAGTAAGGCTTTTTGAAAATTACCTTTTACTTACACTGGCTTTGCGTGCCCGTCATACAACTGTTTCCACTTCCAGATGGGTTTTATGAATGTGGATTTGGAGGAAGTGGCACAATTAGGAATTCTTCCTATTTGGAACTGCGGGGTTAAATAAAGTTAAGTCCAGAGAATACAATATTGGTAGCAAAAGAACGTTTCAGAGCGTAGCTCCTTGGCCCCCCGAGCCCTGTATTTCACTTGCCCTGGAGTTGATTGTACTTTACTGAAAATGTCATAAAGGGAATGGAAAGTTACTGAGTAACAACTCTTTTATATCCTTGATCGTATCAGCTAGTTCAGCAGAGAAGCTTGGCTAATAAGTAATAAGGTGCGGGCCAGCTGTGCGTGTTAATTCCAGGCCTGTGAATGTGACTGAGGAACCACATGTAGGTGAAAAGCATCTGTGGCAACTGCGCGAAGACCCTCATCGTTAAGAATGGAGGTGGTCATGGGATTGTTTGAGATGAAGGGGCTTAGGTCATGCTGACCTCAGAGATGTATGAAATGGTTGGTTTCTTATGCCTTTCAAAGCAGAGTTTGGAATGTTAACTAGAATTGTCTTATAGTCGAGCCCTGAGTAACTGTTTTCACCTGATTCCAGAGTGGTGATGACCTTGACCTTGGCTCTCATGAGTGCCCATCCTCTGTGTCTTTCCAATGTTGTCTGTTTATTAGGTTCACAGTGTAGTGTTGTCATTCTCACCTGGTCTCTTGTGGTTCTTTTTCCCCACCTACCCGTCCTGCCCCTCCCCCTCTGGCGCCAGATCCGGGACGAGTGGGGCAACCAGATCTGGATCTGCCCCGGGTGCAACAAGCCGGATGACGGCAGCCCCATGATCGGCTGCGACGACTGTGACGACTGGTACCACTGGTGAGTGCCGGCCTGTCACTGGGACAGGGCTCGAGGAGGTGGCCCTGCGTCCTCACCTGGCATGGCCCCAAGGAGGAGTCACGTCCTCAACTGGGACAGCAGCCCCCCAGGAGGTAGCCTCGCATGGGCAGTGCCCTGGGCCCAGCTCAGCCACTGTCCTGAGGACAGTGTACAGGTGACGTGGGGAGCCTGTCGCTGGAATTAATTGCATATACCCAGAGGCTTTGTCCTCTTGTCATGCGCCCTCGGTTCTGAATATTTTGCTTAGCCTGTCTGTCCTTCAGAAAAAAATAAGAGGAGACCTGGAGTGCCCATCCCTCTCCCCGTCAGCTGTAGGAGCTGTGGGCCTGGCACAGCACATAAAGGCCACGTGAGTGTGGGCAGGCATCACAGAAGCCAGCCTGCTCACGGCCGTTAAACCTCCTTAGCCGCCCCCAGAGCTGCAGCTCAACCAGACTTAGGCAAATCATCTCATTTCATCTTTAAAATGTCAGGTGCAAAAAGGTAGCGCTCCGTCCAGTTATCCTGTCTGATGTATGATAGCTGTAGGATAAAGACAGCCGCTGCTCAGAATTAAACCACTCTTGGCTGAAGGTGCCTGCGACTGACCTCGCGGGGTTCCTGGGAGAGGCGCCGTGCAGCAAACCAGGCACCCGGCCTGGCTCCCTAAAGTAGAGCTTTGCAGCTTTGATTTCTGGTAAATATGTCGTAGACTCTGAGAATAGTTAAAGCACAGAAAGGAAAAGAACATCCATGTGTGTGAACTCGCTAATGTGAGTCTCCCCGTGCAGGCCCTGTGTCGGGATCATGGCGGCGCCCCCCGAGGAGATGCAGTGGTTCTGTCCCAAGTGTAACACCAAGAGGAAAGACAAGAAGCACAAGAAGAGGAAGCACCGGGCCCACTGACGTCCCCTGGGAGTCATCGCCTCTGGAGGGGCTGGTGCAATTCCGCGACACCCCGACCCCGGCTTCCTGAGGACGGAGGCCTGGGACAGGAACAGCCGGCCGGGCCGGGCTCCCCCTCGACGGGTTGGCCTGCCACTGCTGGGGTGATTGAAGGAGATTGGGCAGGCGTGGCCTTCCCAGTGCCAGGACAAGGAGCACCAATCAGAGAGCATCGTCTTCCTTCCGTCTGACTCTCTCCAGGCCTTTCTCTGGGGGTGTTAGATGAGAAGATAAGGTGTGAGCCACCTGCCTGTAACTCGAGGACGGCTCATTGGTCTGTATACAGTTTTCAGCTCTTCCCTCTCTAGTAAGATAATCATAATAGCATAAAAGAAAGCTCCACTTGGAGCACTGGTCAATATTTTTGTGACAAGAATATATGAAGCTTCCCTCCCCCACCCCCCCCACCCCCGTTTTTAGTACTAACATGTAAAATGTTCAGGCTTTTGTGAAATACCTTATATTTTTTAAGAAAAGGTTTCTATCATGTCCTGTTTGCTTTTGTGCAAATTATTTTTGTTTACTCTAATGTATTTTTTACTTCTGTTGCATTCTAATTTTGCCTCCTTTAAACTGCTGGAGTGTCTTCTCACTGCTTGTACATTTCATCAACTTGTATAAAAAGTTCATACGGAGAGATTGCCCCTAATGTAAATAATAAATATTTATGAAGTAGTTATTTTTAAATTTTTATCGTGTTTAATTCTGGCTTTCTCTGAAATCCACTGTGATTTCAGCCATGTCTGTAACTGCGCTGTCCGTGAGAGAGAAGGCTGGCGCGACAGCCCGGCTCAGAGTCCTCACCGCCAGCTGGCCCCAGCAGTGTCCAGGAGGACGCAGGGCGTAGCCTGAGCTGGGCGAAGGATGAGGCCGTTGCAGTCTGGAGGCTGTGATTGGAAGTGGTTCTCTTTAGGATCTATTTTGCGTTGGGACGTTTCTTTGACTTACTTTTATTACAAGGACATCGACGTTCCATGAGAGTAAAGAAGAACCATATACTGTATTTGTGTTTATATTGTCTTATTTCTGCAGATCTGTTCGTTGATATTGTGCTTTACAGCTGAAATGAAGTATATTGTGAATTTTTTTTTTTTAAGAAAACTCATCAAATTTCAGGGTACCACAAACTTTATTATATGTTATACTGCCCACTATTTATTATATGTTATAGATGTCAGAGGTAAATCAGATATTTTATTTTTAATGTAAAAACATCAAATTTAACTTTATTAGCCTATTTTAGCAACTTTGGAATAAACATGGACTTTACTTGATTTTGAAATAATCCCCATTTGGGCCCGTGTGATGGATCTCTTGACTGCTAGAATGTGGGCTTTGAACCTGATACCGATATATGAACAGAAAATGTGACTTTCTGAATGCCAAGTAGATCGATACTAGTGTATGATTAGTGATACTTTACAGCATGACGTGTGGCTAGGGAAGTGCGGCTTCTGCCGTGAACGTCGGCTTGTGGATCAGCGGACACGGCGTCGACCTTCCCAAGTGCAGGTGCCGCTGCCCTCTCGGCTCCAGGGCCAGAGTTTTCCTGCCTCTGCAGGGAAGCACAGCGTCAGTGTTGAGATGTGTGGTTTTTGTTTTATTACTTTGAGATCATTCTCAATACTTGATATTTTCCCATGCACAGATGTGCCCATTAGTGCTTTTTGGAGAGGGATGAGGGGTGGAAGAAGTGCAAAATAAAGATTATTGGCCATTTCCTAGTTTGCTTTTCCATTTTCTTTATTTGGGATTTAGTTTCCTGGGCACGGTCTGTGGACCCTAAGTTGCCACGTTCAAGTGAGCAGGTCATGCTGCGGCGGTGAGAATGGGGGTGCCTGCATAGAACTTTCTCCCGGTCCCACTGTCTGTGAGGCGACTTCCAGGGAATTTCAATCAGTTTGTTGTCCCTTGCTATTTCATGGTTGCTTTCCTAAATCCAGTTCATGATTTTATAAATGGTCTTTGCAATAATAAAACCAAAGAATCATTTTCAGGGGGCTGGATAGCTGGAGGGATTAGTAATGGGATACAGAGCCTTTCACCTCTAGGCCAGTGAGCCGGATCCAGGCCGGGTCACTGGAGACCGAAAGTTGTCACCATCTTATGACTGTGCAGCGGCCTGTGTGAAACGAACTGGTGGTCCCGGTCTCCACCAGGTGGCTGGCTGTGACACCAACCAAAGGAAGTTCAAGAAACTGCAAACAGAAGTGTGGATTAGAAAATAAAACATCCAGGTTACAAAGAAAAGTTAGCAAGTTGGGTATAGTCATTCTCCTGAAAGTAACAGCGAAGAGAAAGAGCAACTTAGAAACACCACGGACACTCCCAAGACAGTGGAGATGAATGTACTGTCCTTGAGAAAGTCGTGCCAATTAGGGAGAGAAAAGGCGGACGTGGCGAGAGGGGAGAGCGAGCAGTTGGGCGGATAAGTGAGTCCAGAGAAGCACTCCAAGGGGCCTGGACAGGCAGGAAAAAAGGGGATTGACTTTGAGGGAGGAGGAGGTCGCAAGAGGCAGCAGGAATTCGAATGCCGCACCCAGAATTAGATGCAGAGGAATGACAGGTATTTCCCTTTGGAGGTTAGAAGGTTTCCAGTTGGAAGGAAATCACGGCCTGCTTTAATTTATCGTTGGAACAGCATCAACACTTTGTAAAGAGATGCAGTCAGGGAAAAAAGAATCGTCCTGGCTAGCGGGTTTATAGGAAGAGATGGTATTTAAGAATCAGACCCTCACTCACGGGAAACTGAGAAGCGCCCTGGTGCGATAATCTGTGGTCAGAGCCAAGTGGGACTGGCCAGGCGTCATTTCTGCGGCTGCCGAGTGTTTCTCTTCCAAGGGTGTCGACGGTGGAGTACAGTGCGCATCTTTATCCTCCCACCGACAGGCGATTCCAAATGTCCCGAAGAAAACCAGAGGGTATCAGAGTCTTCTGACTCTGTCGAGCTTTTTTCAGAGATAAAATACAGTGCATTACTGTATCACCCAAACCGCCTTTGTTCGCCTTTCAATAGGATGATTAAACAAAGACCTACTAACCAAATTAAAGTATAAAATGAACGCTGAGATAGGAGCCCTTGCCACTGAGAATGCTAATGAATGAAGTTCACTGGAGGCATGCTGGCTACGTTTTCAATACAAACAGTTGGATGGCCGATCTCTCCAGATCATAGCAGCTTTCTTTAGAAGTTGAAGCCTAAGAGTAGATGAGTTCCCTCGCCTGGAGAATGAAATAGAGAATGTCCTGAATAATGTCTCTTTCCACAATGGTATCAGTCGTTCTGTGAGGAAACGATTTCTTTGAGAATCTCACATTAGCGGTAGCCTAAAAAGTATAAAGTGACTATTAATCCATGTGTGCAGACCAGCCTATAGATGACATCGAAATTAGATATTTAGATGGGCAGACAGGCTGGGCGCAGTGACTCATGCCTGTAATCTCAGCAGTTTGGGAGGCTGAGGCAGGAGGATGGCTTGAGTCCAGGAGTTTGAGACCAGCATAGGCAACATAGCGAGATCTCATCTCTACATAATAAACAAAAAAATTAGCCTGGCGTGGTGGCGCCCATCTGGAGTTCCAGCTACTCAAGAGGCTGAGGAGGGAGGATTGCCTGAGCCCAGAAGTTCGAGGCTGTGGTGAGCCGTGATCATGCCACTACACTCCAGACTGGGCAACACAATGAGACACCGACTTAAAAAAAAAGAAAGA